TCGCTGTTCAGGATTGTCTAGACAGCGAGGGTATTCAACGTCTTTTATGGCCAGCGCGTTCTCCAGGTCTAAACCCCATTGAAAATGTATGGGATGCTTTGGGGAGGCAAGTTGCTGGTCGAAACTATCCTCCGACAAACAAGAACACCCTCATCCGTGCACTCACAGAGGAATGGGATAAATTGCCTCAACAGCTGCTGGATAATGTTGTGCAAAGTATCGTACGACGTGTGGAATGTTGCATCACACTCCACGGTGGACATATCCCGTACTGATACCTTTCTTTAAGGTGCCTACTGACTTTTAGATGCATTGTTCCATTTCTCCGTACGCAGATCAAATGAACATTTTTTTTCTTTCAGATGTTTCACAGCTTTTGTACTTTCCGGAATAATAAATATTCTTTATTCTAATGTCTGAACAGTGTGGCAACTATATTTTATCCTACTAGGCCTCATGTCTCGCTTAATGTTATGCTACATAGCAATTTGTGATCCGTCCTTAGCAATTGTCCAGCAGTGTATATATATATATATATATATATATATATATATTATATATATATATATATATTATATATATACTATATATTACCACGAATAAATGTCAATTAATCGACTTTCTTCATGTAAATTTAAACGAATATTTTTAAACAGTCAGTCCGGGGCAAGATTACGAGCTCGTCATTCCAAATTCGTTAAACTAACTATGTTGTCTATTCTATTAAACCCCGTAAACACTTGTTTGTGTGTGTTTTTGTCCACTCGACCTTGCACTTCTATCTCTCTGGGGCTAAGGGTTGCATCGGATCGTGGAATGAGTCGTTCGAAAGAGGGAGATCAAAGAATGACACTTTTGCCATCCGCTAAGCCCCCCACTCTAGCCCCCGAAAGAGAAACCAGTTGGAAATGTCGTGAAAGGATTTAAAGAATGTGGTATCGAGCCTCATAATCCTCTTGTGTTTAGCGAACATGACTTTGCTGCTATAAAAACTACTATCCATGACGTTGTTGGCGATGCTACTGAGATTAATAGTGCTAATCCTCAGACCCTGGTAGTAAAGGGTGTTTTTTTAGAGGTATAGAACTTTAAATTGCAATAAAACAACGATGTATTACGATGTATTATTCGATTGACATGAATTTTTTTTATTCGAAAGATAATCTGGTGGCATTACATTTTAAATATGATTTCTGACATATGACTGCCACTCCTGGCTCGGATGTAGTCCAATCTGGACGTCCAATTTTCGATGACTTTTTCCAACATTTGTGGCCGTATATCGGCAATAACACGGCGAATGTTGTCTTTCAAATGGTCAAGCGTTTGTGGCTTATCCGCATAGACCAATGACTTCACATAGCCCCACAGAAAATAGTCTAGCGGTGTTAAATCACAAGATCTTGTAGGCCAATTCACAGGTCTAAAACGTGAAATTAGGCGGTCACCAAACGTGTCTTTCAATAAATCGATTGTGGCACGAGCTGTGTGACATGTTGCGACGTCTTGTTGGAACCATAGCTCCTGGACATCATGATTGTTCAATTCAGGAATGAAAAAAGTTAGTAATCATGGCTCTATACCGATCACCATTGACTGTAACGTTGTGGCCTTCATCGTTTTTGAAGAAGGATTCCACCAGCCCATAAAGCGCACCAAACAGTCAGTTTTTCTGGATGTAACCGTGTTTCGACATAAACTTGTGGATTAGCTTCACTCCAAGTGCGGCAGTTTTGTTTGTTGACGTAGTCATTCAACCAGAAGTGCGCTTCATCGCTAAACAAAATTCGCTTATGAAAATCGGGAACAACGGCAATCTCGTTTTGGGCCCATTCGACGAATATACGCCTTGCTTGATGATCGTTTTGATGAATTGCCAAACCAAACTGAGAATAAATCACTTGACAGCTGTTAAATCGGTCGCCATCTTGGAAAGTAATGCCAACTTAAACTTCTATTCCTGGAAAAAAACACTCTTTAGAAAACCAACATATTAACCCCCCAGAAGAACTAGACCTTGTGGAAAATACTGATTACGATGCACCAAAGAAGCCTGCTAGTGTTTTGTATTTCAAACCCTTGCCTAAAGCAACACAAGTGAGCTCAAGCATTCTTACAAGCACACCCATCAAAGAAATGTTAGAACAAAGGAAAAAGTAGGAGGAAGAACAGGACACTTTAAGAAAACAGTGAAGAGAAGCCCGTGAAGCTAAAAAGTAAGTAAAAAAACTCAAACTAAGTTCCTGTAGACTTAAGTCTATAAAATCCAGGTCCAACAGTCCAGTTGCATCAACTTCAAAGGATGGTGTTATAAGATGTCCTACTTGTGAAGAGGAATATTGTAACCCTCCAACAGAAGAATGAATCCAGTGCTGTAAATGGGCTAAGAGTGGTGGCATGAGGAATGTTCCAATTATGAAAATGGCATTTTTATTTGTGACTATCGTTAGTTGCACAACTAAACACTTCAACATTACGTTACAATGCATTATACTTACTTTGTTACTTTGTAAGATGAAAAAAACACAGTTATCATTTGTTAAACCATATAACATATTCAAAAGATAAAATCTGTTCCATCTTTCTCAGTGTTGTCATCTTGCCCCAGTACCAGGTCAAGATTACGATTCGTTAAGGTTCTGAAAAAATAAAATTATCCTTTTTTTTTTTTATTTGAAAGATTAAATGGTAATGTATTTAATACTACAAAAGACTACTCTAACTAAAAAACTACTCTTTAGTTTTTTTTATCCTTAAAAATAAACCAATAAACAACAAACAATGTTAACAGTTATCTTGCCCAGGTCTTCCCTACTACACATCTGGTGTTTTCTTTTTAAATCATTTCATCCAGAATAATCCATCGATCTAAGCGACTCGGAATTTATACTCTATACTTGGGGTGAGCATTAAGTCGATCTCGATCGACCAGTGGACCGCCAAGGTATTTTCAGGTGACCGCTTTCACTAAGACTTAATAATCCTTGTATCAAAGGAAGGTCTAGAAATATTTTAAAAACACTGAGAAAAAGAGAAAGAGAAAAAATTCTTTAAATAGAAAATGTATTTCTCTATTTTACGAAGCAATTAGTAAAATTTTCTTAGTTCCAGGGAAAAGTTCGCTTAATAGAGAAATTCGCAAAATAGAAGCTCGTAAAATGGAGGTCCGACTGTATTGTAGACTTTCTATTAGCTTACTACACCTACGCCATTGGGCGGACCGCACCATCTTGAAAAAAATTAGAAGTAGCCAGCACCATGGAAAAGTCTGCCCACTCCTTCTGCATATGGTATAAACGTTTAATTTTTTTTTTAAATTAGGGTTTGGGATGTTTCTTCCGTTTATTATTAAATAGTTTCCGACTAAAATCATGGTTCTGTATTGAATCCATCATTTGACTGATTTGTTACACGGTTTTATTCAAAAATTTTAATAAAAATATTTCTATTTTTCAAAACTGCTTTCAATTCCTAACGTTTTAGAAACGAAAACAATTAATTGAAAATTCTTACGAAATTAAGCAATTACTTTATATTATTTACTTCAGATGTATTTAATTAGCTTAACGCACATTCTTCAAAAAGACAATCAACATGTGTTTGCGTATCAGCAATGCGTTAACTTACACCAGCTCTCTTCTTGTTTTATCAGCTTCCTTTCATAATAGAAGAGCAAATAAACCGTATCATTCATCAAATAGGTTTTCTATGAACTTCTCTGCAAGGTTCCATGGTGTAATGGTTAGCACTCTGGACTCTGAATCCAGCGATCCGAGTTCAAATCTCGGTGGAACCTGATTTTTTAACCTGCAGCTTGTGAAATTTAAAATAATAAAAATGTGTGCACATATTAATAAATCTACTTTTTTTCTTCTCTTCTTTTTCAAGTCATTAATCTAGAATTATTTCAGTATTTATTTTTGGCCAAAAAATAAAATTTTCTGCATGTCTTTGTATCGAATAAGATTTTGAAAAATATTGTACTAAAAATAATTTCGAATTTATTAATATTAAAAAGCTTCGGTTAAAAATACAAATTTAAAATAAATGTTTTCTCTAAAATTTTAATCTTATGTAAATCTCAAGGGAAAAAATAAATATCAAGAATATTCGTTTAATTGTCGTGCGCAAAACATGCATGTTAATATAGCATTTAATTCTTAATTACAATGTTACACTATCATTTATGTTAATTATTATAATTAATTATAACCAATTTTCTTTTACTAGTGCTACGGAGCATTTTTCCTAGTTTTTAGGTTAAATTATTAAAAAACCATAAAAGCTGGCGTATAGCGCGTACCGGTATATAATGCGCTCCCATACTTTCAAACTGCATTTTATCATATTTCAGTATTATTCGCCATATAAGGCGCACCCCCCTTCTTTTACAAAGGGACCAGACGTGTGCGTGTACAATGCTTGTATGTTTTAAAGTCATTTATTCGAGTTATTACAGAATTTTGTGTGAAAAAAATGGTATACTGATAGAATCAGAACCCTTTAACTTCATCAGATGTCATTTCTTTCAAGTATATAGTATTCCGATCTATGAAGAAGTTTAATATTTTTCTATGTTCATCTCTTTTTTTAAGTTATACTTCTTTTGGGGCCTTAGAGAAAACGGACGAGGGTGAATTTTTACGATGCGCGCGCAAACCGTCACGGATGTGACGCAAAACCGCCACGGAGGCGAAATTGCTTTGTCTAGAAATATATAGAACGGGACAGATCATTGCCGCCTTCAACATTCGCAGGAAAATATTTCTCTTTACTTCCCTGGAGAAGGGAAAACTCGGGTTTGAACCGGAAACCTCTCAATCTGCAGTCAAATGCTCTACCACTGAGCTATAACCCCCGCGTCAGCTGACTTTTGCTTTTGTGTTCCGTAGGAACGAAACGAAAATGCTTTGTCTAGAAATATACAGAACGGGACAGATCATTGCCGCCTTCGAAATTCTCAAAAGAAAAAAAAATATTTCTCTTCACTTCCCTTAAAAAGAGGACACCCGGGTGTTCGAACCGAGGACTTCTCGATGTACAGTCAAATGCTCTACCACTGAGCTATACCCCCGCGACAGCTGTCTTTTGCTTTGTGTTCCGGAGGAAAGAATATGAAAATGCTTTGTCTAGAAATATACAGAACGGGACAGATCATTGCCGCCTTCGAAATTCTCAAAAAAAAAAAAAAAAAAAAAATTCTCTTCACTTCCCTTAAGAAGAGGACACCCAGGTTCGAACCGAGGACCGCTCGATCTGCAGTCGAATGAATGCACTACCACTGAGCTATACCACCCCGTATCTGCAAACCTTTGCTTTGCGTTGATTTGTGATTAGTAGAGAGAGATCGTCCCTCGCCTACGGAGCTTCTGTGAGGCATTCGTTTGAACACTTTTTGTTATTAAACAAAACATACTTACAGGAAATTAAAAAAAATAATAAAATTTGTAAATTAATCTTTAAATTGTGTTTCATGTACATAAAACATAAGAGTAAATATTCGTTTACCTATTTAAAAAACAATTGCAAGTATATGATTATAGATGTATTTACTACGAACGCATTGCGATGAACATAAACACATTTATTTCATTGTAGCTAATTATAAGAGCCTTTTGTATTCGTATATTTATTTCATGTTATTCTTCTTTTTGGGTGTTAAGGAAAAAGGATGAGGATAAATTTTTGCGATGCGCGCGCATACCATCACGACACCGATGCGCGCGCACACACCGTTGTCTAATATTTTATCATGCCAATTCTTTTGGGTGCTATGGGACTGATATTTGGGGGATCATAATAACTATTGTTATAAACCATATCTGTTGGGACGCATCCCCTTCTCTCTTCAGCTTTTTGGCCAATATCTCGGCACCCGAGCCTCACAGTCCATTAGGACCTGGCTCATTCGATCCCTGTCTATCTGCCCTTCCAGTTATTATAATTCCATGTGTGTGTGTGTATGTGTGCTCATAGGGCTATTTCTTCTATAGTTTTTAATTGTCTTAAACTTTTTAAATTTGTTTAAATTCACAATATCTTGGCTCCTGTTCGAGTCCCGGACTTGAGATTTGAACCAAGTGTTCCACTCGTCGAGACCCATCCAGTCATCTGCTTCATTCCCATTGTGTAGGCATGGGGAGGGCTTCAGCACTAAAATATCAGGCTCCCATGTTAATGTTAATCCTATGGGACTGGAAAAAATTTCACCCCCTAAGGAATTGAGCTTGGAACTTGATTTTTGCAGTCCGCCATATTTTCGTACTAGCGCGAGCTTTACGTGGAATTAGCCCCCTCCCCCTACAGGGCTTCCCTAGAAATGACTCGAATCCTATGCCTCCTTGGTTGACCGCACCGGCTGGATTCAATTGTTCTTCCTATGAGCATCCTAGATATATTTTTTCAGGACCATAGGCCCATTTCTTTACCTGTATTTAACATTTTAAAATTATTTTAAAGTTATAATTTTTTTAAATCCCGCATAGCTCCGAGGATTTTTGAGATTCGTTAAAGAAACTCGGACCATAAGTTTCCCCCCCATTGAGCTGTTTCATCTGTTATAATTCGTGTGTAGATAGTGGACTTAAGGGGTGGGCGTTATCACTAAAATTAGAATCGCCATGTTTTTCTTATGCCGTTCGATATTTTGATGACGTAACGATATTACAGAGATAGAAGGATGGAACTTAGGGATCACCTACGAGTATCGTTGTATCGTTGGATATCTATGTATCGTTGGGATGTACGTGACTATTTACGTCACATTTGTTCCCCTCCGGGGGGAGTTAATTGCGCTTTCCTTTCCCCAGCTATCGCCGCCCCATTTACAACTAGAGACTCCGTACCGGTTCTAATGGATTCCTCTTGTGTTTGCTCACAACGAGGCGGCCCAGTTTCGAGTTGTTGGGTACCCTGCTTCTATTTTATTTAATTGTTTTTAATTTTTAAATTATTTTAAAATGACCATAACTCGGGGGCTCTTCAGGCGGATATCTTAATTTTCTCAGGAACGATTCTTCCCACCGATACATTCAATATGAGGTCTCAGATGTCACATTTGGTTCACTTCATCTCCAGATACAGTCTGATACCCCCCATGTTATTGGTCCTATTCTGCTTGTGCGGGGGTGTTTACATTTATTTAAATCGTGATTATCTCAGGTTTGGCTGGTCCGATTGACTGAAGGTTAGTATCGTTCAACTCTGCTCGAGACCACCTTTCGTCCTTGGCCCAGCTTGCCATGCTAAAGATTTTTAGGAAGATTTTAATCTTGTTACGCCAAAGAAGTATAACTTCTTATGTACGTACATAAGTACACACACACTTTTTTTATTTTTGAAACTCTCATTTTTATACCTGGCGTATAACATGCACCCATAAATTTTGATCTCATTTTTTGTGTTAAAAGTGCTCGTTATACGCCGGATTTTGCGGTACGTTAAATAGGCAAATATTTGAAGTCCACCAATTTCTGTTTTTACACGAACTTCTTTTAAACAATTTCGATTAAACATGAAATAGAAAAAAATAATAATTCTCTTTTTACACGACTTATTTCGATTTAATACGATTGACCGAAGTTCTAAGCGAAAAAAAAAGTTGCTTTGATTTTATTTTTATAACTGCAACATTGGAGGCGAGAAATGTAATGAAATTCCCGTTTGTGAGAATTTTCCGAATTATACAACTTCAATATACAATTATGCAATGGATTAGCCTAATCAGAAGCCCAGCGATTAATTACTGAATTCGTTCGGAACATCGGCACCACAGGAGGCTAGTCCTAATTTTGTTCAAGACATTACAGAAACAATTTCACTAATGGAAAACGATAACCAAGACATTTCTGGTGATAGCAGTAGTATAGCAATAAACGTATGCGTTGACTGCCAGAAAGTGACATCGAATAAAACTTATTTATGTTTAACTTGCATTGTTTTTTTTAATTTTTGCGTTCAGGAATTATTGACATTTTCCCCTCCTTTTAAAATTATAATTTACTTTGTATGATACATGTACAGACTTCATGAAATAAAAAAAAATGTCTTAAAAAAATGTCTCCATCTATGACCAATCACCTGGTCCAAATGTTCACGAATGCATCTACCTTAATCGGGAGGTGCCCAATCATATTGAAACCACATCTGGTGTTCTGATACGTTGTGGCACAGGGTCACGTGAGTTTGGTCATAACTTTTGAAAAAGGTAAGATAATCTGCAGATGTTAGAGGTACTGACCACAAGTAAAATCTGACTAAGAGGTCGCTGATCACACCAGTCCAAACCTGCCCTGAAAAGAGATGTCGGGCAGTTTGTGGTCTCATGCTATGGGGACAGTGGCGTAACGGAGAGTGTTAGGGCCTCCCTGCAAAGTCAAGGTTGCAGTCCCAAGTCGTTTCTTACAAAAGGTACGTATTTGTAGTCATTCAAGCTTTCGGCTCCCAGAATCCTGGACTCCCTGCGATGCGGGGGTTGAAGGAGTGTACGTTACGCCACTGCATCGGGATTCTCGTCAGCCCATAAATGCGCATTGTGGTGGTTGAACACACCATCTTCAGTGAAATACGCTCCATTCGTAAATAAAACATAGGATGGGAAATGCGTTTTTTAGCAACATTGCTCGAGATACCACCATGCAAAACACACGCGCACTGGATATGTAGGGAGCAGTGACGCCACTCTTTGAAAATGGTACAGGTGTAAGCATTCATGTTGCAAACACTACGAACACTACTCCGAGATCATCCAACGGCAGTAGTGAAAGCTCGTTCACTGGTACTCGGATTCCTTCAAAAGGTATCCAACAAATTTTGTTCCAGGCTGGGAAACCCGAGTCCATATTGAAACAAATTGTGATGCAAATTAGTAAATATCAGGCGATCAAGTGTATCTCCCTGAGAGTACTTTTCGCGATACGATCTTTTTGCTTTTCATGCATTTCCTGCTGCCAATCCGTAATATCTGCCAGCTTGTTTTTAGTACAACGTTCCACACTTCTTTGTGGGAAATGGCAGCTCAAATGACTTGGGTAATGCAGGTCTATTTTTTCCAATGCTCTTGTGAACAACGCCGCCTAGCTTGGAACGAAGACGTTTCTGACCATGGGTTGCTGTGCAAATCTGAGTTCTTGTGATGTACTCTAGCTCCTCATGAAGTTTTTTACAATAATCCTGGCATACCCCGTATACATCGAGGCTCAAAGTCGTGTGGGAGTTTAGATGTGGGGTGCTAACTCAATTGTCGTCCTTGTTACTTGGCCGAGATGAAAAACTACGAAGTTTTTCATTATTAAATAGAAATATTGAAACTCGTCGCTCCTTTTGAGAAAATTGAGTTTTACTAAGGTAGATGATCAGAAGAAAAAGGGTTACAAGCCACATCATTTGAAAACTATATATTGTGGAGAAATTTTGTTTCCCAAGAGTGGAGACAAATGGCGCAACTTGTCATACAGCTGGTTTGAGGGTAGGTAGTGAAAGTTCTCAGGTGGTTCTGGTCGATTGAAATGGCAAGACGCTTAGGAAATTGGTCTCGTTTTGAAGTGCGAGCCGTGATTCGATTTTTATGGACAAAGATGTGTTTTATGTGTCCTCGTCTGCCATTCACAGTCAAATCATGGAAGTTTAGGGTTCAGAAGTAATTAACAGACAACATGTAGCGAAATGGTGTCACTCTTTTCAATGAGGCAGGCAGGATATCGAAAACCGCACTATGGCAGGTAGAGGCTCGCCAAGTTCTTCAACGGCAGAAATCAACACGGCATGAATTGAAGAAATGATTCAAAAGGATCGACCGGTAACTGTGAGCGAAATCTCATCAGAGCTTGGACTGAGCTATGGTAACGTGCAGCAGATCGTTTCTGAAGTGCTGTGAAAACATCCGCCGAGATCTGGCTCAATGTACAGGGACCTCATTTCTACCAAGACGGGTTAAACAAGTTAATTCTACGTTCTGATAATTGGCTAAATATACTTGGTGATTATGTCAAAATGTGATGAACAAGTATGCCTCTTAATTCCCGTTTGTATTTCCTGTCTGTTGTTAATAAATATTTATTTATTCGACTTGTAACC